GATGCCCAACAGGATATAGCGCACCCGATTCCGAACATGGAGATGATTTTGGCGCATTTCTCGGGGAATAACGTCTTTACACAGCTGGATCTGTCATTGTTAACGACTCTGCTGGACTAGATAATAACGTTGTTTTCAAACATGGTAGACGGACCGATCGCGAGAGTCCCGAGCTCAGCGTCGGAGCAGAAGGCGAGTAGGCATATGATACGCAAAAAGGGCAGGAAAGCTCGAGATATTCGGAAGGGGAATATGCCCGGCGAGAGAGGAAGAATCACGGACGGCCGTGCGTCGCGATGGCGCCAACGAGCGGGCAGCCCCAGTCGGCTGCAGGCCGGTTGGTTCCTCACAGCTTTTAGTATACCTACTCCTTACACAAGTGACATGGCTCGGCAAGGTCACAACATCTGGTCTTCGTAGATATCTCGGAACGTCTGCCTCACACCCTTCGGTTCGACTCCACCATCTTCGGCACTGTTTCGAGATTCGGAATGGCGTTCGCGGCGTCGCGTCGGGAGAAGTGCTCTCGAGCATGGACATCGAGAGCCTCAATGTCTGATTAGAGCAGCGTTTCCCAAAATAGGGGGACGCGTCTCCCGGGGGAGACGCAGGAGAAGTTCAGGGCAGACGCGGGAGAAGTTCAGGGGAAACGCGGAGGATCCCTAGAATTCCCAACCGATCCCTTTTTCGTCTCAGAGAGGTCACCCAGCTCATTCCTAGTCTACAATTCTTCTACAAGTCTTTAATCATTGAGCGATTGATCGAGGAAGCCATATTCCATGGAGAAAACGGTACTCTGACATGTTTAGGTCGAAACTTTACATTCTCAGATATACGGTGATCTCCTTGGGAGACGCGAGCGCCCCTCATGAGGCATAGGGGAGACAGGGGGAAAAAAGTTTGGGAATCGCTGGATTAGAAGAAAAAAGTTCACTGAGGCGTGTTTTACATAATCGAGCACGGACTGTTCCTCGATCTTGGAAACCCCGTCCGGGTTCCATGTAGAATCGGGAGGTACCGGTTGAATGAAGAAAACTTCCCATCGGACGAAACCGAATCATGTGTACCTCCATGATTCTGATCATATACGAATCAAGACCTGAGGATCCTTTGGGGCAATCGAGAATGTGTTTCACATCCGAACTTACGGTAGTGTCTCTGACGCTACCTGCCAGGTTTTGTTTTTTCGTAAGTACGATTCTTCGATTCCGTTCGAGCTTGGGTGGTACGGTGGAGTGCGTTTCCATGATATGCTGTTTTTTGTCAAGTTCGATTCCCATTCTCGGCTGGTGAAGCATGTACCGTTGTCGCTCACCACTAGTTTTGGCGCTCCGAAATCCGAGATAAATACTCCGTCAGCTTTATCGCCTCGGAGGTGGAGGTCGCCCTTGTGGTTTTTGCTGCAATCGATCTCGTGTGTACATCCTCGATGATGAGCACGAAGTGGTTTTCGTTGGGTCTTAAGAAATCGATGTGTACCCGCTCCGGTCATGCCAAGTCACGACGTCGTCTAACGTGCTCAGTTCCGCTTCCTTCGCGATCAGTTCCTTCGAGCACGAGGCGGCCGCAGTTTTTTTCCTCGTTTTATACTCTCCAATATGGTTCTCGATTCTTCGTCTTCCTGGGTTGCGAGCTTCACGTCCTGGTGTCTCAGGGGCAGCCTTTCTATATCCTCAATCAGAAACACGTCGTCTGTCGCTCCGACTCCATCGAGGTCTCGCACCGGCAACCGACTCAGCGCTTCAGCCACTAGGTTGGTTTTCCCAGCCTTGTAGCGGATGGTATAGGCGAATTCATTGAGGCTAAGACTGCATTTTTGAATTCTCATTGCTGAGTGCTGTGGAATCGGTTTCTTGTCACCGGACAGAGTGACCACGGTTTGATGGTCGGTACACAACGTGAAGTGATGGCCGAGCACGTATTCTCGAAACTTGACGTCACTGCCCACCATATCGCCAGAGCCTCGCGTTCTATCTGCGGGTAATCCTTTTCCGCCAACGTCAAGGCCCGGGATGCTATCGCTATTGGCTCTTCTCGGTTGCTCAACGAATGCGCCAGTACCGCTGCTATTCCATAGGAAGATGCGTCGCACGTCAGTAGTATTGGCCGTGTTGGGTTGAATGCCGTTAGTCCTTTTGCGTCTGCGATTGCTCTCTTCGCGGTTTAGGATGCCTTCTCTTGCTTCTCCCCCAATTGAATTTCCTTTCTTTCTCCAACAGTTCACATAGAGGCGATAACTCCGATGCCCGATTCGGGATGATTTTCGCGTAATACGATGTTAGCCCTAAGACGGATTGCGCTTGTTCTTTCGTAGTTGGTTGGGGCGCCTACAAATGCTCTCTAGTGGCCGCAATACCCTCGAATTCAGCTTGCGGCCCAAGAATTCGATTTCTGATTTCATGAATTCGCATTTCCTCTTGCCGAGCTTTAGGTTGTTTCTCCGCATACGTTGAAGAACCTCCCTCAAGCGCCCGAGGTGTCCCTCTGGGGCCCCCGATATCAGAATATCGTCCAGCCTGCATCCCGTGCCCGGGATCCCCGCTAGGACCGCTTCCCATGTTCGTTGGGAAGATGGTGGTGCTGAAGACACCTCGTTGGGGACTCTGTTGTACTCGTATAACCCCTTATGGGTGTTGATCGTCGTCAGCCTTCTCGAATCCGGATGCATTTCCAGCTGACTGTAAGCGTCCTTCAAGTCCAGCTTTGAGAAACATGTTCGCTCTTCGATGTCCATTGATGCGAACAGTACCCGCTGCTCGTGGCAGCGGGTGGTGTTCGAGCCTTGTGACCTTATTTGCCGTGGATCGGAAGTCCGCACAGACTCTTACCCTACCATCGGTTTTCGCGGTGTAAATAACCGGCGCTGCTGTGCCGGCGAATCGCACCGGCTTCGAGATCTCCTGTTTAACCATTTTCCCTAAGGCTTCCTGAGCTTTCTGTCTCTTCGAGAACGGTACCGAACGAGCTCTGTTGAAGGGAGGGACTGCTACAAAGGTTATCCCCCGCATCCCCGATTATCGTTTCCCCGAATATTCGCCCGCTGATTTGACGGCGTCTCTCGGAGGCCGTCCGAGCTGTTCTCTTGGTTGAACAGCTGGGAAAAACTCAAAGAGGGAGAAGCTCCCGAGAGAAGTTGTAAAGAAAAATGTAGAAAATCTGCGCTTCGAAGCCTACTCCCAAAGTTCGGGACTAGAACTTCGGTTGCGCGGATCGTATCACATTGTGAAGAGAAGCCGGTGGATGAATTCCTCCTATGAAACTATCGAGGAGCATCCGTGAGCAATTATTTTGAGATTCACCTGAGGCGGATTTAGATGACGATCCTCGCAGGGTAGTCTTTTCTCACAAATCGGATCGAGGAAGTGGAAGATGAAAGATCGGGCCGTCGTTCGACACGGCGATTTCACTGCCGTATTTCGACGACGACGATGAGTGTATTCTCGAGATCTCTATGGTCCGCCTCTTCGTCGCGGCGGTAGGATTGGAATTATGAGAGTGTCATGATATCACAATGAGCTTCCGCTAGTCCAGGATCCTGCAGCGCACAGCCTCCGAGAGACGCCGCCAAATCAGCGGGCGAATATTCGGGGAAACGATAATCGGGGAACTGATAATCGAGGGACTGATATTCGGGGAACGATAATCGGGGATTCGCGGTGGAACCGTTACAAATGCCTTGCATATGTAGGTAGTGTCAGATCAAAACCCCAATAAAGCTCCTCCCGGGACGTCAGCCCGCCTCGCCTCCCCTTCCGGCCGCCAGAGTGCGCGGTCTTCGCTGATCTCGGCTTTCTCGACCGCAGGGAAACACACTTCAAGGAGAAGTCTACATGATCACGGTTCTCCGGTCGCACTCTGCGACAACGTGAAAGTAGAACGAGGCAAGGCAGCCGTACGTCCGGGGAATTCCTTCCCATAACGCTGTCTTCTCATTCCACCCAGTATCACTCCGGGCTCTTCCAGGGTCCGAGACACTAAAGCCAGAAGTTTTGAGAACTCACACCCTCGTGAGTTTCCCGCGGCTTTCGAGCCGACTCATCGTGCTAACTCATCGTATCAGTTTGTCGGTGGGACTTCCGAGTCAGTGAAATCAACAATCTCCAGGCGCATCCTAGCGCGGTCATTGTTGACAACTCGATGCCGGGAATTCTCGTTGCTGGGACAGCTCGACGCAGGTCAGCTCGATGCCAGGGCGACTCGATGCCAAACACCTCGATACCAAACAGCTGGATTCCGGGATAGCTCGACGCGAGACGAATCGATGCCGGGGTTGCTCGATGCTGAGCGGCTACTTCAGAGCGATTTCTGTGGATCGACTAAACGAATGAGAATCTTGACCCAAGACATTCATATCTATACATATATATAAAAACGTATGTCTGTTTGTTTGTCTGTTTGTCTGTTTGTCTGTTTGTCTGTTTGTCTGTTTGTCTGTTTGTCTGTTTGTCTGTTTGTCTGTTTGTCTGTTTGTCTGTTTGTCTGTTTGTCTGTTTGTCTGTTTGTCTGTTTGTCTGTTTGTCTGTTTGTCTGTTTGTCTGTTTGTCTGTTTGTCTGTTTGTCTGTTTGTCTGTTTGTCTGTTTGTCTGTTTGTCTGTTTGTCTGTTTGTCTGTTTGTCTGTTTGTCTGGTGTCACCTATAGACTCGAAAACGGCTGAACCGATCGTCGTGAAAATTTAAGAGCGTGTTCTGGGCGATCCAGCGGTGGTTATAGGGGGTCAGTTCTCCGATGCGATGAGTCCTTCTACCTTGAAAAAAATATTTGAGTGCTTCACCCACGAAAATACGAAAACTCGGAAAAAGATTGAAAAATCCGAAATTCGCAGAATTCACAAACGCCTGAACCGATCGCCGCAAAAACTCAGCGAGTCTAGCGATACCGAGTCGCCGCGAAGCGGCGACCGGGAGCGCTAGTTTCACATAGTTTCATTGAGCCGTTCAAAAGTTAGGGCCGGGACGAGGAGAGGGGAAAAAAGTCCCGACTAAAAATGACCACCCTGTAGTTAGGTCTCGGGTTCCTGGTAGAACGAGGAGTCCGCGTCGGTATTGGTTTCTCTATGGCTAGAGGGCTGGTATCCTGGTTCCGTCCCGCAGGGTTTGACGGGGGTGTTAAGAAATCTTCGATAGCCGATGATGCTGGTGAGGGTCTTCCAGGCGAACTTGTCGGGGGCGGCTCTATTGGCAAAGGTCCTGATGGGCTGTGTGGATCAGCCCGAAAAAGTTTTGTCTCTGTTGCGGCTTTGACTCTCTGGGTTTTCTTCGGACGCAAGAACCGTCTGTTCCGGACGTAAGTCGCTCCATCCGTTGTCGTGACTGCGGGTGAGCGCGGATTCCGTTGGAGCCCACTGACTGTTGCGGGTCTCCACTGTCTAGTGTCTGTCTGCAGCCATACTTCCTGTCCACTTTTCAGTGGCTCCAGAGCACGTGAATGACGATCGAAATACTCTTTGGCCTTCGAAGCGTTGTCTCTCAGAGCTGCGCGTCTTCTCCGCCAAGTGTTTCTTGACGGGTTTTCCAAAGGCTCACTCGATGTCGGCAGCAGCGAGCGGACGACTCTCTCGGTGGACAATCCGGCGGGAGAGATCCCATCGGGAGCCGGTGTAGTGCGCAGGCTGAGTAGCGCCGTATCTTCGCCAGAGGCTTTCGATTTCCAGATGACAGCCTTCAGTGTCTGTATCGTTTGCTCGACAAGGCCATTCGCAAGCGAATGGCCGGGTGATATTGTGCTGTGGACTGTGTCCCATTCTTGCAGCTTCGCTCTGAAGCCCTCGCTGAAGAACGGGGGACCGTTGTCTGAGATTATCTCTCGGGGAATTCCCTGAATGAGCCACCAATCAATCAAGGTCCAGCACACGACCTGTGTACTAGAAGTCTGAAGTTGTCTCACCAAGAAATCTTTCGAGAAATAATCAACGGCCACGTCGTCAACATGGAACAGATTAAGAGCCACGGTAAGCCATGGATGCGGCGTCGCCGGCAACGGATGCAGGGGCTCTTTCGAGTTGGCTCGGGCATACGCTTGACACTGAGAGCATCGGTCTACTGCACTACGTAGATCAGACGTCATCCCTGACCAGTATGCGCTGAGACGAGCTTGACGAATCATGCGCTCTGAAGCTTGGTGAGCTCCGTGTAGCACTTCGATGACTCGTTTCCGGGATTTATCGGGAACCACCAATCGTTGTCCGCTGTAGAGGAGTTCTTCCTCCTCCGTTAGTTCTTCTTTGAAATCCCAGAACACTCTCGTAAGTGCGTGGCAGTCAGCTTTGGGCCAGCCGAATCGGATGTATTGCATGACGTGCTGAATCTGGGGGTCTTCCTTCGTGTGTTGTTGGAGTTGAGTCCATCGAGTATCGGACATAGCCACGAGAGCGTGTACGGTCACCAGTCGGTACTCCAGTTCTGGTGTTGCGATATTGGCGTTTGTCGGAAACCTGGACAGCGTGTCCGCGAAGTACAAGAATTTCTCGGGAACATAGGTCAACGTTAAATCGTAACGTAAAATGCGGAGTAGCATCTTCTGGAGTCGGGGACTCAGGAGCGCGAGTTCTTTCATCACGATACTAAGGAGCGGTTTATGGTCAGTCTCTACGCGAAACCTTTCCGCCGTGTATGTATGTAGAAATGGAAATGCTGGTGATGGCTGAGCTGCTACTGGCTCGTGCCGCGCGTTAGCTAGCTGACGTCGACTGTGACGCTGTGTCGCTTGTCGTCACGGCGCGCTATCCGAAAGTTTATTCTCAGGAAAGTAACACAAAGATAACACGTCTTCCCAGGGGGTCCCCACGATCAGGCTAGGGACAGCCAGTCCACGCCTTTCCCCGCGCCAATCAACGTCGCGCAACTCCCAGCCACAAAGGTTCCGAACTTCAGTCGGTACCCACCCCGCTTCCAGGAATGGAACGACATGTTCACCAACTACGTCGATTCCCAGCAGCTCGAGCCTACGGGAAAGTGCCGCATCCTGAAGTCTTCCGTCGTAGGCAATGCGAGCCGCCCGATCGCACACCTGCGTGTGTGCGCCGAGAACTACGAGATGATGAAGAGGATCATTCGAGAACGATTCGGGGGAGACACGCGGATCAGGGCGTCTCACATCCATCGCATCCACGCGATATGTGCTATGAGGGACCTAGATAAGGAGTCGAGGTTAGTGGAGTTCCTTTCGCAGCTCGGCCAGCACCTGCACTCCTTGGTAGCTTTAGGCAACGATCTGGGATCGCTTTCTACAGCGTTGGTTCCGGTCGTTCTCGCGGCATGGCAGCTCCTTCGAGGCTGCGTTTGAAATTCAACTCACAGTGGATGGGTGGAACAGGCGGAGAGGCCCCTCAACTCGAGTCTCTCTTGAGTTTTCTAGAGAAACACGCAGCCCTTATGGAAGTGTGTGAGCAACAAGCAAAAATTCGGAACTTCTAGAGCAAGCGAGCACCCTCCAGGTTCGGTCTATGGTGGGCAAGGATTCAAACACCGTTTCAACGGTCAGAAAGGGCTCCGTCACGTCGGCTCTTTCGGGGCAGCGGTAAGCAGGCCGAATCATGCATGCTCATCTTGTGGCAAAGGCCACGATAGTTTCAAATGCGATATATATAAGCTACAAAGAGATTCAGGGAATCCTTCTGAACACATTCGGGCCCTCAAGGTCGATTTTCCGGCGACGGCATGAAATCTTGAGCCAACAGGCTCCCATATCGGCCCTTTCAAACCCCGAAGAGATAGTCGATTGGGCCAACTGGAAAGGCGATCAATTCGAGTGAAGCAGTCTGACCGGTGGGATGTTCAAAATCTTCTTGGCGATCAATTATGCGCTGGCCCAGCTTTCAAGAACGTGCGAAATATCATGCTCAAGGCCGTGGATGAGAAGCCGAAGTTGACCATTGCGGAGCTACGGAC